CTCATAGACCTTCAAAACTATTATCAACTCTATTATATGTATCATTGACTTTTTAATTCGACGTAAAGTATTATTTAAAGAGTTACAATACCAATTATATATAATTACCGTCATACTAGAATTCGTGATTTGAAGTTTATAAGTTTCTATACTGACCTGATCAAATTTATATATAATAATAATTGAATTTGCAGTACCTAAATATCCAGAATCTAAAGAGAAGCTATTAAATCTCCCTCAATTCACAAATTGTTCTCTAGATCTACCACTGATTATCATCTAGGTGACTCATAACACAAAACCCTTTAATTTTAAACTCATATTATCCACATTCATACGACATTCATTTCTTTTTCGTTTTAACGAAAAATATCACATTTTTGTAATTGAAAATATATTATTATTTTTTTGCTTTTAATAAAATAGTTTATAGTCACACAAATAATTAAGGAATATCTCAATCATAAATTCTTTAAAAAAATTTAAATTTTGTGTCATGTTAAACTCGTTTGAATAAATTGGGAAAGTGTAGGTTGAAAAACAAAAGAAGTAATAGTACATAGTGTACAAGAATAACAGCCAAAGAGTGGAAGCTTCAGCTTAAAATTTACTGCAATATTTTAGCGTTGTGAGCTTCTTTAATAGCAAAGACAAAGGAAAGAATAGTTATTTGAGAGGAGTTGTATTATAATAATTATTTTATTTTTCTATCTAAGCTAAGCTAAGCTAAAAAAAGAAAAGGTCAGCTCATCACAATTTTTTCACAAACAAATAAATCTCAACCGTTGGATTTGAGTTGGCGTAGAATTGTCAGTTGAGTACACGTGCTGCTACTACTACTAGTACTATCTTTTCCTCTTTACCACTTCTTTTTATCTTTGCTTCCATGCATGGATTTCTCCTCCCATTTTCATAAACTATACTCTTTTCTTTAATTTCTCAAACAAATACTTTCAATTTTGATATTCTTTTTCATATTTTAGTAGGAGGTATAAAAGTTGGACTTTTGTTACTTCATTGTGTTTCTTGATTATAATTATCTGATTTGATTATTAAGATTTTTCGATTTGATTCAATGGGGTATGAAGATCATGAAGTACTAATGAAACACGTTTGCAAATTTTGCAATAAGAGTTTTCATTGTGGTAGATCTTTAGGAGGTCATATGAGGTCTCATATGGTTAATACAACAGATGGGGAGACATCAAGAAAGAAGCTTCCAGCTTATATCGTTAGCAATTCCACCACCAATAATAGCAATCGCGATGTTAATTTGGATATGGGAAATCAAGATATTAGTTATGTGCTTAGAAACAATCCGAAGAAGACTTCGAAATTTTCTCAAGATTTGGTGGATACTTTGCTTCCTAAAGTTTGTAAGGAATGTGGCAAAAGCTTTCAGTCTTGGAAAGCTTTATTTGGGCATATGAAGTGTCACTCGTCATCATCTTCAGTAGAAGAAGATTCTTGGAACAGTGTTAGTGAATCTGATACCGAAGCAGCAGCGGCGGCGGCGGCGGCAGCAGCAGCAGCAACAAATAAGAAGAAGAGATCATCTAGAAAAAGGTATAACATGGCCCCTGCTGCAACTTCCTCTTCTTTAACTGTTGCTGCTAATGGCTCCTCCCCTTGTGTATCTGAAATTGAGCACGAACAAGAAGAGATTGCTATGAGTTTGATTATGCTATCAAGAGATGTAAGCAATTGGGTTGGTAACAATCATGTCACTGATCAATGTTCTGATAACAACTCACAGTTTTTGACCAAATCAGAGCTGATCAAAAAAGTCAAAAATGGGAAAAAAACAGAACAAGGTGAGAGTTCTAAGTCTGTAACAAATGGTCAAAAAAGGAACAGAACAGAGGTTTTAGATGATGAGAAAAAGAAGAAGATGAAAATGGAGAATGAAAACAGAGTTGTTATCTCTGATCCAAAAATAAAATTTGAGTGTACTACTTGTAACAAGAGCTTCCACTCTTATCAAGCACTTGGTGGTCACAGAGCAAGCCACAAAAATTCTAAAGGTGATCAAACTTGTGCTGCCACTCATATCGATCTTGCTAAACAAATCAAAACCGGCGATAACGAGACTGAATTTGGGCAAAATTGTGGATCCAAGAAGCAACTAAAGATGCATGAGTGTCCAATTTGTTACAAGATTTTCCCATCAGGACAAGCATTAGGTGGTCATAAAAGATCCCATTTGATTGCCGAGGCCAAAAAAAATAACCACAATCAAACTGTTGAAGTAGAAAAACCAACACCAGAAATCAAAAACTTCTTGGATCTAAATTTGCCTGCTCCTGTTGAAGAAGAAGATAGTACTCATGAACAACAGCATATTGAGTTTCAGCAATGGTGGATTGACAGTACACACAAACATGAGCAACTATTGGGCCTTCTTTCTAACTAATCATTGGGGGAATTTCATCAAAGTGTACAGATTCATTGATTCTTTACATTTGGACAATAACTACGTCTCAGTGCCCTAACAAGTTGGGATCGGCTATATGAATCTTCACTGTTTCATTTAAGCTTAAATCCAGAGTTAGTAAGTTTTACGCCGAACTATCAACCTATATTAAGTACCTCTTATTTTCTTTTTTTTTTTAGTTGAATTTCTTTTACAAATTTTAGTTAGGGAATGGTAATTCAATGTGTACAAGATGTAACCTTTTTTTTTTTTTTTCCTATTTTGCATTCTTTTGTTGAATACATTTTAGCTTCATCTTGAGCTAAACATGAAAGAGTAAATTTTTGTTCTAGTGTAATAATTTTATCTTGGGATTGAAGGGAAAATGAGTGAATATGGGACTATATAGTATGAAAAATAAAATAAAATAAAAAGTTATAGTCCATTACAAGTGAGCTTAAATTAAAGTTGTTTGTTTAATTTAGTGACCTACCAAATAACATGACAAGTTGACAACTCATCTTATTAGTCTCACAATATGCTAGTGCTTTTCAATAATCTTTTAATGCTACACACAAACAGTTATCACGCAACTGAAAAAGGAAGACTTAAGTAGATTTGGACCACCTCTATAATTCAAAAAGAATATTTTTTTTATATATTTATCTTTACAGTTCTTACACTCCACAATATTATTCTATATTTTTTGTTTATTTACCTAGTCCACTTTAATTAGAACACCTAATTAGACGTGCATTTTGTTCAACATTCCTTAGTTGACAAGGTTTTACGTGTTTGGAGACGTAGTATGATCGAGCTGTTAAAAGACATAATTAAGTAATTTAAAATGTAATTTTTATTTTATATTTTTGAATAAAATTTTCGCACATTTTAACGTTTGGAAATCTAGATGAAGTGTACTGGTGGGTAACAGAGCGTGACAAAAAAATTAATGTTCGAAAAAGTCGTAATTGAAGTCGCTAATTATTACGTGTAAATATATTTGTTTGGCTGTTGCTTTGATTGATTTTCCTATTCTTTGGAATTAGCACTTGGCACTTTGATATAGAACTTTATATGATGATTAAAAAAGAAAATTTTTCATTTGGATTCAAGATTATTAGTAAAGGAGTCGAAAATAAATTAATAATAGCATGTACGGTTTGAAATTAGAACTTTGAGATAAATTTTAAATTACTAAATCAACTTCTAATTTTATGCTTAAAGGATTAAAATCTCTCTCTATATATATTCTATTGAGGGGGTTCAAACAGTACGAAATCACATTGAGAAATATCGATCACATACCTTTGTTGAGAAAATAACCTCTTGGAAGACTATTATTTGAAACATAATCGAAAATTATAAAATATTTCGTATTTAGCTATTTGAGAATTAATTTTAAATCTTTGAAATTGAAGTAAATTGAAATTATGACGATCAAATTTCAAACTTTAGACATATTGGGTTGAAGTCAAATTCAACTTCTAATTTAATTTAATTTTGATTTGAATGAAGTACTTCAAAGGCTTAAATTTAAAGTTAAACTTGGGAAAATTCAAATTTCAAAATCTAATTTCATATCTGAATATCTAAAGTTCACATTAACATATATCTATAGCTTAATATGGTAATCACAACATTTACATCTCATATAAATCAAAGTAATATAATATACTGATTAGTTTTAATTATTTTCCAAATTTAGTTTTGAGCGAAGCAACACAAATACAAAATTTATCAAATTTGCCTACAAGTTAAATACTTTAGAAGAACTAGATAAAACATAAATAGACATGAAAAACTACTAAATGTACATATACATTATATATAATTAGTATATATTTTGTATATTTCAGCATATCATCTTAACCTTACGAGTTATGAGCTATCAAACTACTTTATTTCACGTCGAAGATGAGAACGGAAAACTACTAATAGATAAATAAGGACCCTTGTTCTCTTCGAACTGAAAAATACCAATAGATAAATAAGAAAACCTGTTATGTTGTTGTTATAGGCTTTACATAATTGATCAGATTAGATCGATATCCCTTCTCATTAGACCCACCATAGTATGAACTTTCAGTAAACGGAATCATTAAATATATATATATATATATATATATATATATATATATATAGTTAGTGTGTATATTTTGTATATTTTATCATATCGTCTGAACCTAAGAGCTATCAAACTACTTTATTTTACATCGAAGATGAGAACTGAAAACTACTGATAGATAAATAAAGAGCCCTATTCTCTTCGAACTGAAAAATACTAATAGTTAAATAAGGAGCTCTGTTCTGTTGATGCTATAGGCTTTACACAATTAATTGGATTAGATCGATATCCCCTCTCATTAAATCCACCTGTTTGAACTTTCAGTAAACGCATTCATTAAATATACATATATATTATATATGGTTAGTGTATATGTTTTGTATATTTTATCATACCGTTTGAACCTTACGAGCTATTAGACTTTTTTATTTCACGTCGAAGATGAGAATCAAAAACTATTAAATAGATAAATAAGGAATCCTGTTCTCTTCGAAGTGAAAACTATTCCATACATAAATAAGGAGCCCTATTCTATTGATATTTTAGGCTTTACACAGATAATCAGATTAGATCGATATCCCTTTTCATTAGACCCATCGAAGCGTGAACTCTGTGTAAACTGGACTCCAACTTGGGTCACAGAAGAGAAGCAACAGTTCGGCCCATACGAAAAATGCAAAATACAAACATAACTTGAGCAAAGCTGCCATTGACTCCGATCTTCTCTTTCTCTGCTTCTGCAGCTATGGCGTCTACAGTGACTCGCAGATTTACAAACAAACTTCTTAGAAATCCTTCATTTCTCAGAGATTCCCAAATAAACCCAAAACTCTCAACCCCCTTCAATTCGTATGTCAAATCAGCTCCTTTTAGCCAGAGTCAAAATCATCCACCATTTATTGGGATGATACAAAAGCAATTTCATTCTTCTCAGTATACGGAGAATCTCAGATTTCAAGTTCGTGGATTAGCGTTGACGAATTGCCAAAACCCTTTAAAGATGAACCCCAGATACTTTTCATCTGAGGGTAGTGGAAACCCTAAAAGCCCTAGCGAGCATCCGAGTGAAAACCCTGAATTTAAGCACCAGGAGATCACAGGACCAACTGTAGAACGTGACGTCACGCCACTTGCGAATGAGACCCGTGAAGTGCTTGAGAAAATGCTTAAGACAATGTATAATTTGAGTAAAGCATTTGCTGTACTTGGGCTTGTTCATCTTGGTTTAGGAGCTTGGCTTACTTACAAGACTCAGTCTTCCCCAATTCCTGAGATTTCGATACAGAGTTTCTTGGCTTTTGGGTTGCCATTTTCCTTGGCATTCATGTTGAGAAGAGCGCTGAAGCCGATTTACTTCTTTAAGAAAATGGAAGAACAATCTAGGTTGCAGATTTTGACTCTTACTCTACAGGCTGCTAAGCAATTGAACTTGTTGTTTGTTCGTGCTCAAGGTGTTACTTACTCTTGTGTTGCTGTTACATCCCTTGGATTGATCCTTGTTGTATTCTCTAGATTGAGTAATTGATATGAAGATGAATAAGAGTTGCCAATTTTGAATGTTCTAATCTTTTGATTTGAAACACTCGATTTAAGTAGTTGCAATAAGTGTTTGATGTTGAATTTATAAGCTAAATACTGATCAAGATCAGATTTTATGGGGAAGTTTTAGCGAATAATGTTGAGTACAAAGAAAATCTATCATACCTTTTGTTTTTGCTTTGTCACTGTTCCATTGATGGAGATATTTGGTGCACTTCTGATCTATTTGAAACAGAGCTTTGTTGATTGGGAAGTTTTTTCCGTTGCCCTGTGATTTTAGTAGTTGCAAAGAAGTGTTTGATTGTGATTTTGTAAGCTGAATACTGATCAAGATTAGATTTTGACAGCTTTAGCAATGACATGATTACGAAGAAACTCTTGTCATACCTTTGTTTTTGCTGTATCATGCTTCTATTGACAGGGATATTTGATCTTTACAATATTGGCTGTTCTAAAATCACCAGAACTCGATGTACATGGAGAAATTTGCAGGTCAAAGTAAAGAACTGTGAGTTCTCGTGAAGTAACTTAAGCTATATTTGTATGTCAACATACATGACACAGCATTTTCATCTTGCATGCATTGAACAATTATCTTTGCATTTGTGGCTTGCTATGTTCCTGACGAATGTAGTTCCTATGGAGATTGAGTTATCAGGATTGAGAAAGAACAGAGAAATCATTCGTTGATGGACAACTTGGTACATTCAGCACCAAGCTCAGACATGTCTGCGGAGTGTAGATAGTGATATAAACGTGTTCATTTCAACATAGATAGCTGGAAATGTCAAAAAGCGTAAAGCAAATACTTTGAGCTATGATTATCCTTGAACCTCTCTAGTTGTGCTAGTGCCTTTTTCGCTTAGGATCTTTTGTGCCATTCATGTGTTTGGTTTGATTGTGTAACCAAACTCTCAAGAAGGTATGGCCTAAGCCCTACTTCTTCAAATGTAATTTCTTTCTCAACGACAATATACATTGTGTTCATTTCAAGCATGTATTATGGTGGAGAGTGTGTTTTCAAGTTGTTTGTCCAAGTCTACTCTTATTTCTTTTAGAGGAGTTTGATAAATGCTATTGAACTTCGATTTCAATATACAGTATTTAACTGTGCTGTATTATGCTGCAATTTAGTGATAGCTATACCATCATGCTAAATTCTATTAGTAAATATTGAAAAAAAAATCTCCATCTCGCAAGGCAGGTATAAGATTTGTGTACCCCACTTGGTGGCATTACATGGGTAAGTTGCTGTAAATTTAAAATATTCTACGTTATTCCGATACCTAAATGTCTAAATCCAATGTATGTAAACATATTGCAAGTCTTGATACGTATTAAAGATTATCCAAGAAGTGCTCGTATCAAGATTGGACAGAGTAGTTATGTGATGCAGCCTCTGATGTGATATCAAATTGTTTATTCTTTCTTTGTCATCAAATGAAAGTTGTTTGAATCTTATTTTTGTTGGAACTATTTTTTCTAGCATGTGAAGTGCACTGTTCGTGCATTGTATATTAGTGAGAAAAGAAATGTTATATCATAGTATATATCTAGTAATTTAGAGATGATAAACTTAGTAGCTAAGAATTAGGGATTCGTGATCTGTTAGCTTGTTTTCTGGAAAGTAGTTGGAAATTAGTCAAAAGGTTTTAGTATTTCCACCTTGTTATCGGTACATATGCTGGTGGGAAATAACAAGTTAAATATGTGAATACAAAGAGATAACATTCTTTTGGGGACATAAAAGATTAGATATTGAGCAAGTGAATCGATAAATCACACACTTGAAGACAAGAACAAATGCATGACGAATCTTTAGAAAAATATACAAAATATACAAAGTATTAAAAAAAAATGGAGTATAAAGCCGACGATAAACGTGAAGAAAGACACCAAATTTCTTGTGCCCTCTAGGAATATGCTGTTCAATTGAATTTTTCTATTCATCCTACCATTTAATAACTCATAGTATAACCTTTGCAGGCAAAGTGAGCAAACATATCATATCATGTCGATAGTTCAATCTTACTTTGACTATCTTACATGAAGCTAAATTATGTTTTTTTAGTATTCTCGTTGAAACACACGGGCATACTCCTGGCTTATGGGGACATTGATTCAAAGCTCGAGTACGGTTTGTGTGTTGTTTTTTTCCTTCGTGATGGAACTTATTTTCTTTTTCGAGATAAAAGGGTAACTTAACTTAAACTGATTCTTAAAAGCTCGGATTACTTTTAATTTCAATTTCAAAATTTATGGCTAAACGGAAGTTGGATGCAACAGTTCTACTGCATCAATGTACTAGTAATAAGTTCAGCAAAATTTTCATTGTATATATACAAAAAAGAATTTGTTTGTTTACCTTATTTACAGGAGATTCAATTGGAAGCACTCACTAGCCATTAATCTGAAATTGAGTCATGGAGCGAGATTTCGTCGATACCGTATTACACGTGACAAGTTAGTATTAACAGTCGTCCGGCACAAAGGGCACGTCTCGTTATCTTCTAACCAAGGACGAACACAACCAACATGAAATCCATGGCAACAAGGATGAAGAATCGCACAAATTTCTCCTATTTTAATCTCCGCAATACAAATCGAACAATCACTGTTTTTCACTGATTCATCGCAAATACGAATCGCTACTTCACCAGTCCCATTTTCCGGCGGACATGTGGTGGTTCCGTCGGCGGGATTATTCGATTCTTCGGCACAGCAAACGAATTTTTTCTTCAATATGATGATAAATGGAACAAGTAAAATGGCAAAAGTGATGAGGAAGATATAACTTCCGTTGATATTTGGCATCGATTTTGAAGAGTATGGAAGAAGACAAATCATCAATTGATCATTTACTGAATTTATTTAGACTTTTTTTTTTTAATTTCTTAATAAATTATTATGAAAAAAATGATAAATAATTAATTAATTTTTGTTGACGTGGAGTGGGTCAGGTGACTCTAGTCTGACGTAATATGGAGAAGAAACGGTCCAATTTGCCAATTTGGCTAAATTCGAAAGTCGGTCCTATACCATTTCTTTATATTTATTTAAAAATATAATAAGAAAAATATTAAAAGACATAATTTTCACTGTAAAATCATTTACTTTGAAAATCAATGCAAACATAATTAGAAAAGTATTTAAAGACATAATTTTCACTATTACTTTTTGTGGAATCATATACTTTGAAAATGTAATTTATCTCATTAAAAAAAAACTTCAAACATTCATCTTGAATTTAATCAATCAATTATTTTGAAAAAAAGAAAAATTTATAAAAAGTTCACGTACAGATAGACAGACGAGTTCTGTCCCATTTGTAGTTGTCGTCGTGTTGCGTTTTCAAAATTTAATTTAATTAATTATAATTAACTTAAATTATATTAATTTAATATTTTCTTAGAAAAAATATATATTTAAGAAGAAATCAATGTAATAATAATTTAATAAAAAAATTAGTATATTATACTATTAAATAAAAAGGAAACACAAAAGTGAACAGAATGATTAAAGTTTTTAAATGTGTTCTCACTATCAAATTTAATAGGCTCCTCTCTTTCTCTCTCTGCCCCCTCTCTCTTTCTAGATTTTCTCAGTGGATTGGTTCTCTGAGAGAGGGGCGTTAATCTCGGTGCTGCAAAATCCTAATCCATTGTGTTGCTTCATTTGCAGGTATTTATTCATCTGGGTATCTTCAAATCGCTAAGCTTATTGTACTGATTTGCTTCTGTTACTTTGTTTCTTGTTGCTATGGTTTATATCTGAAGTTTCTTTTCCGAAATCAATACTTGCGGTTATCTTTTCTACTCTTAAAGTGAAACAATCTGCACTTATCCTATTGTTTGTCTTGCTTGATTTCTGGAGGGTTTTGAGAATTTAGCAGGAAGGAATACGGTAGATTAATTGGGATTTTTCATTTGATTTGTCGAAAAAAGATGAACAGTAAAGATCATTGTTGTAGGACGGTTTTTGATGATACAATCTGCACTTTTCTATTGTTTTAGTCTTGCTTGATTTCTGGGTTTTTGAGAAGGAATACGGCAGATGAATTGGGAATTTTCTTGACCCTTCATTTGATTTCGCGAAAAAGAAAAAAGGGATGAACAATGTAGAAGTTGAGAACAGGACATAATATTCTTAAATGTTCAGATCGTTGTTGTAGGATGGTTTTTGGTGGGTGTCTTGGATCCCCTTTCTGCAAGCCCTCGCGAGAATCCTGTATTGTTCTTGTTCATTACTAACTACTGGTTTGTGTGCTTAAATCTTGGAATTTAAGTCTTAAATGTTCTTGTCATCAATTCTGAGCATTTTTTGTACGTGGTTTTTAATTTTTTTTTTTGTAGATTCCACCAACTTTGGCTTTCAATGCTTGTCAGCAGTATGGTCGAGTGAATTTTCTTGTTATGACTGATTCTTGATAACTAATTTGAACTGTTGTAAGACTGTTAATAGCTTTGTGTTGCTTCTTTCTCCAGGTACATTCCCTAATTAGTTGAATATTTCCTACCAAAGCAAGGTTACCTTTTAATTTTTGAAAATGTTCGGGCTTAAGAAGTCGCCCTTGCATAGGAATGCTAGGAATCACTCTGTGAATCCTGGATCCGGTGGTTATTCAAGTTCAAATCCTTTTGATTCTGACAATGAATCAGACAACAAGGAAACTATAAAACCTGCTCGGACGCCCTTGCATAGGAATGCTAGGAATCACTCTGTGAATCCTGGATTCGGTGGTTATCCAAGTTCAAATCCTTTTGATTCTGACAACAAAGAAACTATAAAACCTGTTCGGAGAACTTCGTCAGAGCCTTCTCCAGTTACCCCACATTTGAGTACAAACACTTTTGATGATGATGATGATATTAAACAGACTCATTCATCTGCTTACTCCGTGACTTCAACAGAAAGAAATAAATACAAAAATGAGTTCAGGGACTCTGGAGGATTTGAGAACCAAACTGTACAGGAGTTGGAAAACTATGCAGTACACAAGGCTGAAGAGACAACGAAATCTGTTAACAATTGCCTGAGGATTGCAGAAGACATCAGACAAGATGCCACAAAAACTGTAATCACATTACATCAGCAGGGTGAACAAATTACAAGAACCCACTTAACTGCAGCTGACATTGATCATGACCTTAGCAGAGTATGGTTTTTAAGTCTATTACATTTTCTAGTTTGCAAAAGAAGAACTTGTTGTGGATTAGCATTACCAGTTATATCATCATGGACTATTAATACCCATCTGTTCTTGTTTCTGCAAATTTTCATTCTTCAGTCATTTAATCGAATGGTTCATAGTATTGTTGGAATTTATGCTGAATGGTAGGTTATTTCCTTGTTCATTTGGAGATGAAACTTTATAGTTTTTAGCAGGCAATGTAGATTTTGTTTTAAGTTTGCATTCACTAGTCTGCTTCAAGACGTTCCACCTCCTTAATCTACATTTGCCTCATATATCATAACTACAAAATTGTTTGTTACCATTTCTTGATCTGGAAGATTTTATTTCTGATATTTCCTTTTGCTATTGTACTTATCATCTGGAAACTAAAGCTTCAAATTTAATTACAGAGTGAAAAACTTTTGGGTACTCTTGGAGGCTTCTTTTCTAAGAGTTGGAAGCCTAAGAAGACACGCTCAATTACAGGGCCAGTAATTACTAGAGGTAACTAAATAGATTTTGTTCTTGTTCATTATATATGCTTTTGGTGTTTGTGAGCAAGGAAAGAAAAATCTAACAGGACATTAAGATAAGAAGGCATCAAAAGTATGGGGAGGTCGTGGCTGTTGAGGAAACTGCTGATTATCTGTTATTGTGGCAGATGATCCAGTTCAAAGAAGGGGTAACCACCTGGAGCAGAGAGAAAAGTTGGGGTTGAACTCTGCACCCAAGGAACGCTCAAGTTCACGAACACTACCTCAGGAACCTACTAATGCACTGCAGAAAGTTGAGGTACATACAATGTTACTTGAAAAAACTGAGACTGGTATTCAGAATTATGGTTTAGAGAATTGATACTGGCTTTAAGCTGTTGCATGATAGGAAGATATACTTTGGGACAAAATAGTGACTGGCATTAAGAACTGCTTTATATAATTGGTTCAGAGGTTGATACTGTCTCTAGGATGTTACATGATAGGAAGATAAACTTGCTCTCACTTATGCGTCCTAATTTAGAAAACAAGTTGATCGGGTCTATTGACTGACTCGTTTTGCTTATGAAGTAAGGTTAGCAAATCTCTGAAGCTCAGTCACCTCTCAATCCTGGAAATTCCTCCTGAATTTCAATCCCAAAAAGTCCTGACCCCTTGTGTCCCCTAACCTGTTGAACAATCTGTTTGCCAAAATGTGTCCCCCCCTAACCTGTTGAACAGTCCATTCCCTTTGGCAAACGACCCTAAACAAAATAGGGATTTAAGTTCCCCTTTATTTGAATGAGGACGGCAGATAAGTTTGATATTAACATATTTCATTGACAATTTGACTGTTAATTGTGCACTTTGAAAAGTCTAAATGTAAAAGCTTAGAATATGCGAAATACCCGACGATGGGGGTGGGGGTCAGAGAAAGCTACACCGCACCTCACATAACCAATTGAATCAACATTGTCTTTTGTTGCATGGCTGCTGATTTAGCAGCAGTTGGTTTGTTATAGGTTTAGGATTTGATTGGATTTGGAGACCATTTTCTATTTTCATAACAATGGGAAATTGGGGATGTCCTCATTCTAATTATTTTTGATGAGTCTGAATTTTTTGTTGAGTCGAAGGTTTATCAGGAACAGCCTCCTTACTCCACAAAGGTGAAGGGATTAGGTTTAGGATTTGGAGACCATTTCTATTTTCATATCTATGGGAAATTGGGAATGTCTTCATTCTAATTTTTTTTTATGAGTCTGAATTTTTTGTTGAGTCGGTATTGTCGGGAACAACCTCCCTACTCCACAAAGGTAGGGATTAGGTTTAGAATTTGACTGGATTTGGAGACCATTTTCTATTTTCATATCTTTGGGAAATTGGGAATGTCCTCATTCTAATTTTTTTTTTATGAGTCTGAATTTTTTATTGAGTCGAAGGTTTATCGGAAACAACTTCCCTACCCCACAAAGGTAGGGATTAGGTTTGCATACACCTCACCCTTTCCAAAGACCCCATTTGTGGGACAACACTAGGTAAATCTTTTATTTTTTCTTACCCTCCTTGAGATTACATCCTCGTTGCTCCCTTAGTGACTTGAACCCTCAATTTTAGGGTTGGAAGTGAGGGTGCTTACCCATCCAAGCAACTCCCTCTTGTCTATACTGGTTATGTTGTTGTTGAATTTGTTTCTAGTGACTTCATTCTTAGAGAACTTGTTTCTTGAGTTGAAAGTCCTGTTAATATTTCTTTTGGATACAAATTCTAGATTCTGAAGCAGAACAACATTTGATGATTTATAGAAACCCTACTGCTATCTAGCTTCAACTCTTAGCTAAATTATAAGGAATTAGAGGAAAAGGGAGTGTTACATTTGAAAGAGGACTTCATAGTTGAATGAAAGAGTGGGTCTGCTTTTCTCTGTGGTGTTGGGAAAGAGTGTTGTTCTATTCGTGTTTCCGTGTGGAATGTAAGAGTGGATCTGATTGGAGGGGTAGGGAAAGAAGCAAAGTGAGTTAATCAATTTTGAAATGTTGATAGGTTGAGCATGCGAAGCAAGATGACGCATTATCAGATCTCAGTAACCTGTTGGGAGAGCTCAAACATATGGCTATTGACATGGGGTCTGAAATCGAAAGGTTAGTGTTCAAGCTAGTGAAATTTTCTTTAAAAGGATCAATAAGAATCCTTGCTCTTTTCCCCTACTCCTTTCCTCTTCTTATTGTACTTTAATGTAGTGTGTTATTATTCCTCTAACCACTTCTAAGAATTTCTGCATATGTTGTTGGATATTGCAGGCAGAACAGATCCCTGGATCATTTTCAAGATGATGTAGATGAGCTCAACTTCCGAGTTAAAGGTGCTAACCAGCGTGGCCGCCGCTTACTTGGCAAATGACCTAGCATTTATCTCATGTATTAGCACTAGATGTTAACGTGCTCATTTTCTTCATAATACCAATTTTTTCATCTGTTATTTCTGATTTTTTTTTTAGTATACCTGGTGATCGGCTTGCAAATCAACAAATTGCTGAAATTTACTTGCTTTTTACTTTCTCAGTTATCCATTTTGAAATTCCATTTTGCTTTTTACTTTCTCAGTTAGTATTACCTTTTTTTTGGACCTGTTCTGGACAAGAGGAAGTTTAGAAACTATCAAAATCTTTGACGTTGCAACGTACTTAAGACATTAATACAATAAAAAGCGCTTGTTCCCACAATGAGGGGAGAAATGATGAACAATGCTCCCACGATGACAAACAGCGACATATCTGAACACAAATAGCAGAACTGGGAAGTACTCTTGTTGCTTTTCAAGATCAAATGCCATAAGATTCAAGCGATCCCGCATAGATCAGCTTTCGCGGTATCCATTTCATGCACATTTGAGATATAAAGCAACAAAAATACCAGTAACAGGCACAAGCTGGTAAGGAAAAAAAGAAATTTTCATAAAGAATGCCTTCATAAATTTTGTTTAGGCAGCAATAGCTCTAAAGCCATTGATATAAAGGTCTTTGCGTAATCATGGTTGAAATGATTATCCTCAGTAAAGTAACATACACATGAGAAGACTGCAACTCCAGTTAAGCATAAATTGGAAAGGTAAGATGGTTAGATCCCTTCACATCAGTTTTGAAAACAATAATAAGAAAAGACATTCGGATAAGAAGAGAACTAAGCAAAGGCAAAGGGATACAGAGTTGAGACTTCCCTTCGGCGGTTCCCTTGAGCAAAGGGAAACAGGAGACTGAAAGCTTGAGAGGGAGCATGGGAAAAAGGAAGTACACTCAGCAAAAAAAGGAGGAGAAGGGAAGCATATCTAATCCTAACTTTCTAGTCAGCATAATATCAATTTAGAAAGATAAGAGATATCATAACCTTCTGTGTGTTTTGGTTTCATTCCAAAAACTGTTGAAATTAGCTTTCCCCTTTCAATTGCTATTCCTCCAACATCTTTAATCCAAGTGAGGACTTACATATAGTCCTATCACAGAAAGAGAACTCTCACACGAAATAACTGAGTTCACCTTTGGTTCAATTCTTCAAGGGTACTGATACTCGAAACCCTCAACAACATTATCGCAGACTGGAATTTCTAGGTTCAAGTACTTCATAAAGCTACCCTCACTGGTTTGATAAAGCTCCTAAAGGTTACACTAGTTTGCCTTCAGTCATCAAGGCAAGTCTTGTTACTATTGTACATTCAGTTTCCTGTTCCCGCATAATTCATAATATCAGAAGTTACAAACTTTTGCAGAACACACTGTAAAATCTTACAATGCGTATACAGCAAAGAAGTGCAACATCAGCTAAAACTGAATCAAGGTACTCTCACAGTCACAGTTAATAACCTGACGAACTTAACCAAATCCCATGTACACAAGCAATCAAGAAACCAAGACTTATCATAGATCACCAGCCAACAATGCATAAGGGCATAGTCCAGCAACCATCCAATCACCGGGTACATATCATAGATCACCAGCCAACAATGCATAAGGGCATAGTCCAGCAACCATCCAATCACCGGGTACATATCATAGATCACCAGCCAACAATGCATAAGGGCATAGTCCAGCAACCAGCCAATCACCGGGTACACGAAAACAATAATCTCCTATCTACCAAATAGTGTTTATCAAATTGTGCTAAGCTAACAAAAGTATTCACCGGGCACATGAAAACAACAATCTCTAATCTATCTACCATATATTGTTTTTATTAAATTGTGCTAAGCTAACAAAAGCATTCACCGGGCACATGAAAACAACAATCTCTAATCTATCTACCAAATATTGTCTATAGAAAGCATTCAATTCAACTCAAAATAAGGCTGGAGCTTTATGAAAAATCGATTCTTTCAAATACATAACCGAGGAATATCAGTTAAAGAACATCAACAATACACAGTGCAGTGACATTCATCACAATTAACGTTTAATTGTACAAAAAAGAACCAAAACCCTAGGGTTTCTACAAAACACCATTCATAACTCAAGGGATTCACATCCATCATTGCTGAACTATTCAACGTTCACAGAATTATTCTTTTGTTCTAAATATAAAAAAAAGGGATTAAAAATGAACGAAAATTCAATGGTGTTACTGGTTCAATTCCATAACGCTTTTGACCTTGGGTGCGTAGAGGGAGTAAACTACGGCTTGTCTCTTGGCAACCTCGAGCTGTGACCTACCATCGGAGAAAGCAGCGGTGACCTTAGATGGATCCGACAGGTCTTTGTTCTGGCGAAACCCATCGATTGTTCGGCGTTTAGTGTATTCCCTAACGTTGTAATCGGGAAACTCACGCGCCGTCCGTAGAAGCGACCGGAAAAGAGTAAGGACTTCCACGCGTGACGGCGACGCCATTTTTCCTTTAGAAACAAAAAACGCCGAGAGGTTTTCCAATTCAGGGAACGATTGTGTGAAGATGCGCTGAGGTTTATCTAGAAAATCTGGGGTTTTAAGAGCAAAAAAAAGAAAAATATTTTCAATATTCCACCTTTGGTCCCTTAAATATGACCAATTATTTTTCATGATAAAATTATAATATATTCCTTAAATGTTTATAACTATAGAAATTTTTTAAACGAATACAAGAATACAAGTGTTGATTCATTAATTTGATGCGCGAGCTATATTAATCGTTAAATAATATACATTACATTTTATACATTATATACTAATCTAATATACCTTTTATACACAATACACTAATCTGATGTGCGAAAAAGAGAGATTTTGGAGATTTGTAAAACATATAGAGGATAATGCTAACATGTAAAACTAAAAGGAGGAATTTTTGTAATTTTTCCTATAAAATTTTGAATCTCATGGACATAAGAATAAGTTGAACTGGTATATTTGATTCTATAATGAATAATGAGTTATTCCATGTAAAAATTATAATCAGCTATAAGGGGTTGGTATTATTGTAGCCACATTTATATTTTGTATTTGAAGCTGTCCTATGTACAACTGGGAGAATTAAAATTAGGAAAAACAATGAACTTGATGGACAATGGTTCAATAGATAATGGAGAGTTGAGATTTGTAAAGACTGGAGACAAGCTTGGAATGTCTCCTGTTTCTGTGAGTTGCAATAATTTCCCGTTGAGGAGCATTGTTCTGCTTCTAATGTTGCGACCTTCTGGCGTTAGATGGTATTCTTCTCGCGATAGTGTAATGTCTGATGATTTGGTTCCTACCCACGAAACACTTTGCTTAATACTGCGCGCGAATGACTTCTTGTTGTGATCCATTTTTTTACCAACTTGCAAGCTGGTTTCTGCAGTAGAGTGGATGTTGACTTGGTACTGAATCTGAGTGCTTAAATTTATCAGAAGTAAAGTCACACCTGCCTGAAGAAAGGTAACACCAGTGAGTTGATACGCGGTTTTGGTCTTTTTAGTAGTATGAAGACAGTAGCACATACACACAAATGAGAAGAAAAAAATGAGAGTTCAGTGGACTAAGGGACACCAGACAAGGTTGATATTTGCAGGTAGAGAGATTGTTTCCGAAACTACATGGTGCTCCTAGACTCCCACGAAGCCTAACCCCACCGAAAAGTGGCAATGCATAAGTTGAGACATTGGCTGCAATTCTGATATGCAAGAATATGAAGGTTGGTTTTCGAAATAAGGCAAATGACAGAGTCCGTGGATAAAAACTCAAACAGACCCGGTGTTCAGAAAAAAACAAATAATTTAACCTTGACAGTGAAAACCTGAACTTGAAAAACACAAGTCATTCATTAGTTGGTTTAGTGTATACACCTGGTGCAGATAAGTCCATAATCAACTAAGTCTTATTGCATGGCCTACAAATGGAGGAGTGAAAGGTACTATATCTAGTTAGCTCTAGTTATAACTGCCCCTGTAGGGTTCACAAACCTAAATAGTATATGGTCCTTGTGTGTCAGAATCCAAAACAATATCAGAGAAACACTAGAGCAATTGCATCTTTGTTGGTCTAACTAAGAGCATTTCTGGTGTCTGAGGCTCCACAGTATATGTTATATTGACATGATGGATTACGCAACAGAAAGAAAACAAAGGAAGCAGTTAAACACAAGAATTTCATTTGGGAACCTATAAAGCACTTGTTATCAAGACAATTTTCCAACGTAGTGACGCATCTCATATTGCATAAATGAATCAGGATATATACACATACTCTATCTTTTGTACAGTGGGCATAAGTGCGCAAATGTGGTGCTGCGCTGTTGACAACACCAAGAACTACTTTTCCCATCAGTCTATTCCAAAGAAGTGCACTGTATCAAATTGAAAACAGAAGGATCAAAACTTCTTTTCTTAGATTCTCACTGACTTTAAAAACATGACAATGAAAATTAACAGCCTGCTCCTTCTAATGATAGAGTGAAGCCATACTTGAATAAAGTAGTCAAACACCTCACCTATAATAATCAGGATTTGGAATAAACGTAGCAGTATCAAGAAGCCCATAATTTCCACCTATAAGCGTCTGTCTGCAGTATACTTTAGTATGATGCTTGGCTGCCATGCCAAGCTGATCTAAGTACCTATATTCCATATTATAAGGTCTTTAGAATTGTTTCACTTGACTGTTCGCTAATACTATAAGTCAAATCAAGCAAGAAATTTTACCAAAAGCTATCTACGAAGGCGTTAGACACATCAGGACCTCCACTGTTGAAGGCTCCACCAGATTCTCCAACCCAAGCTGAAGCCCAAGGACCATTTCTTAGAATGGTTTGAGTAAGACTGCTGAATGTGCCTTCTGTTCTACTCAGGTATTCAGGATTTAAAATTTTATCCACTAGCTTGCTATCGGACCCTGAAACAGAACACTTCTGGTTTAATTAACATAAAGAAATTCAGCAGTTACGGAATCTAGATAATAGAAAGAAACTACATAAGAATAAAACAGAACGATTGCTCTATTGCGAGTCTTTTGAACTACTAAACAATAGTGCAGTCATTTTTCAAGGATGTAAATGAAGTACTAAGATTACACCAGTTGAAGCTTATTTTTCCAATACTAACTACTAGATTTTCTTAGTCGAGGAGGCTTTTAATATAGCTTCAGTCTTAAAGGGAAAAAGATTTGCACTGGCTAACCCGGGCCAAGATTATAAATATGATGTGTCAAGACATTGACAGTGCCACGCCCTGAAACCTGAAGGAGCTTGCCGAACCACCCAGGATCATAGAATCCTCCTGGTGCTAATAGTAGAGGACGTTCGGGGGTGTTCTGATATGCTTGGTTTAAGAGATTGTGCAGCTGGAAAACATCTTTTCCATACTGTGCAGCATCAACTCTTGCACCAATCCCGCTACCACTCAATTCATTTCCTACAAAATGAAAAAAGCATGATTAAGGAACGGAGAGAGATTTACATCAAGTTGCAAGAAGAAAGAAATATGCCAGAGAAATTTACCAAATTCCCACGAGTGTATGTGGTAGCCCTTGGCAACGGTGTATTTTATGAAATTAAGGGCATTGCTGGAATCCCAATTTCCTACCCACGCATGCCTATTTGCCTGTCGTCTCCCATACAGTGCATTCAAGCCGAAAGTCACAAGTGCTCTGCAGCAAATGCAGTAAAACTCGAATGAACTTCAACGGAGAAACTTTAGAATCATGGGAAGTTTTCAACAGTCCTAAAGTTATTCTACTTTACTTTTTTGGTATAAGTCATAGTCCTCAGTAGAAAAAGAAATATAGATTTCAAGCACAATATTCCACATTTTTAAGTTTCTCGAATTTATGGATGCAAATTTAGGATTCAGAAGTAGTGACATGAAAGAGTCATGGATTAGATGTGGAATGCCATCAATTTAGACCTCCAAAGAGTCATTCAAAAAGATGAAAGTGGAAAAATTTGAGCATAAACCAAACTTGGAGGCGAATGTTTCCTCTTGAAAGTGGTAAATTGAAAGAAGAGAATAGAAAAATAAGTAAAGAATCAATCCGTAACGTGCAGCCTAGGAGCAGACCAGATTATTAGCCAGGACACGGTTACATGTATTAGGAGAAGTACAGAATGTGCCTATCTTACCCTGTCTTCTTGAAAAGGTTATTTAGCTCATCCCATCTCTGCATAGGTAAGCATCCCTTAGAGAATCCAAACAACCCATCCTTATGCTGGGTGAATGGTCTGCAAGGAGATATCAAGTTGCCAACGCCATATATTACTTGGTCTTGTAAAGAACCTCCAAGCCGTAATCTCAAACCCTTGAAAGCTGTATCACCAATAAAAGAGACATAGAGAAAGAAGTTCAGTTTGCTCATCATATCTTAAGGTGAAATGACAGCATCTTGGGGTCTCAGTTTCCAAATTATGGTAATAACATAAACAACTTGGAAAATAAGTTGAAAATTATGGCATAATAGTACGTGCAAACCTCGTATAGCATTCACCAGATATGGATGAGTTAAATCCTGACAAATCAAAACACATTCATGAACACAGACTTAATCAGAAACTCGATAAGATATTTATACTTTTTAATATTAAAGAACAACATATTCCATCAATAACAAGCTAGTATGAGTTACCAGATTTAGAATGGATGCTGAACCCCAAGGACATTGCTTGTAGTTACACTTCTCTTTAGGCCACCAATCAATGGTAGCACAAATGTAATTAGCATCTGTCCAGGCAACTTTCGTAGATGCATCAATCGTAAGTACTATTTGTTTAACAATTTGTGCTGAAAGTGCAGGGCATAGAGCCACAAAAATTAAGAACAAGGTTCTGAAGTTCATTAGAAGATTAACCTCCACGAATTCACCGCTCTTTGAACCTAATCAATCATATACTGCCAAAGAGGAAGCAACCAAATAAATGCTAAGAGACTTTTAAAGAGTAAGTTATTCTTTTAAACAAGACTACAAATATAGCAACATTCATTGTAAGTTATTCTTTCTAACAAGAGTACAAATATAGTAAACATTCATTGGACAACATCATACTCAAGTGCTGTGTTTTGACAGCTAAATGTAGATTTAACAAAACACAACAACGATACGTGTAGTCTCACAAGTGCCGTCTGAGGAAGGTAGAGTGTACACAAATCTTACCCCTCGGGTAGATAAGTAAGAAAATATGAATGAGAAATTGAGGAAGCAAACCAAATTGTTTTCTTGCTTACATATAAAAGAGTCTTTACCACTCTGAGCCAGTCAAGTTTAACCAGATCAAGAAACTTATCAATAAAGGACAATAGTAATGTAATGATGGAGAAAAATTCCAAAACTGGAAATTAATTTAAACACTGCATATATAAATTCAGAACCAATTAAATACTTACACTTTTTTGTTATTAGTTTTCAGAAAACTTTTTCTTCACGTCTAAGACTAATATTCCACCAACAGTATAAGTAAAGTCCACATCAACACATAATACACAAATTCACCAAAAAACACTCAGCTAACAAGATCCAAACATAACAAAAAAAAAAAACCCTTATTTTCTATATTGCTCGAACTCTTCGAAAATGCTCTAAAGATAATATCTTTATTAAAGATTCAACACAAACGGGGCATCATTTTTTTAAGAATACGAATAACATAGCTTATACTAAAATCTAAAGAATAAAGAACCAATGGAAATTCACCTCACAACCCAGATGAGTAATACTAATAATGACACTAATCTGAGCTCAAATTCCAAGAAAAAAACCGGGTAAATGACAAGAATAGGGAGTAAAATGAAATGGGTTGGGTTCAGATTTGTGAGAGATCAGATAAAGATTGAATCTTTTTGGGTGAGAAGTGTCAGAATCAACTAACAGTCATCATTCATTCATCAGTTTTTTTTGGTAGATATGTACAGAAACAGTAGCTCGTGTAAAGTGCAGACAAATAATTGGCGGAAATAGAAATTAAAGATATTTCTTCCGTTTTAAAAATAATGATTTGAAACTGAGTTTAAAAAAAAAAAGAAAAAAATTTAATTTTACAATCTTAAACATATCATGTAAAAAATTAAAAATTGAAATGTTATCAAAATTCAACAAAAAAATTTTTTTTTTTAGAACATACTAAAAAAAGAAAATAGAGTAATTATTTATAATACGAAGGAAGTAATTAAATACTACCACATATGATGAGTTGGATAGATCCTTTGTCCAATTTTTTCTTTTTTTAATTTTTTGTTGAATTCCAAGTTGTCTTCAGGTTAAAGTCAAGCCTTTACACCCAATAAGCTAGCTAGATTTTTTGCGTTTCTTATTTTAAAATATTTAAAAATTATACGAAAAAAATATAAATTTTAATTTTTTTCTATATTGATACGATGGAAAAGTATATTTAAAAATATTAATTAAATTCCTACCATTTGACTTTTAAAAAGAAAAAATATGATAACTAAAAAGGAAAAAAGAAGGAATATTTGTTGTTGAGGATTATAATTCAAGATATGAAATTCCAAAAATCTTTTTTTTTTTTAAATGTATTTTTCCATACGAACTGTTTTTATGTAAATTTTTATATTATAAAGATTTGATTCAGTCAATAACAGCCGTTAGATCCAATTTCATCTACTACTGCCTACTGGTAGTTCAACCAATCATGATCCTTTTATTTTACTTTGTACCTAGTTATACTTTAAAAAAAATTGATTAATATTTTAAAATATATTTTTTTATCATATTAATATATAAAAAATTATAATTTATAGTACTTTTCATATAGTTTTAAAATATTTAATTTTTTTATTTAAAATATTAAATTATTGATCTAATTTATCTTTAAAAATTAGTCAATTAACTTTCGATAAACTCAACATAACAAATATTAAAAATATTGTATTCTGTTATTCTAATTGGGTAAAGATTGTGATAACATTCATGCTATAGATTATATATAGTAAAGTAAAAAGGTCAAAATACTTATCAACAGACACATCAAATGGATTTTGGTAAAACCAAGGTGCAAACAAAACCACTTAGCTTGTAGTCAATTATTGATTGATATTTATTGATATATATAATATAATATAATATAGGACTAAATGAAAGAACCTATTAGAATTAGGCTATTATGATTTGGAGAGGAATATAGATTTTAAATTTCTAATAGATTATCTATTTAAATAACACATATTCAAATAATTAAAAGGAAAAAAATACACTAATGAATATATCATATAAAAAAAATGGAGAAAAAACAATAATAATAAACAAAACAAAAATATATAACAAACAAGTAAAAAAACCTCACAGAAAAAATGAAAAATAATAATAATTACTTATTAATAATAATATAAACAAGGAGAACTCAAAAATATGGATAGATTACTTACTAATTCTCTATTTTAATTTTTGATTTTCATATTTTTCTATCTAAAATCATGTTTCTTACTTACGTATATTCTTCGATTTATTTTTATTTTCTTTTAAAATCAAAAAACTCAATAACCAAGCAAAATAATACATAAGAAAAAATAGAAATATATACCTAGCGAAAAATAGTTGTTGATCACTAATGAGGCACCAAGCAGTGAAAAATCATATAAAAAAGTGTATAAATAAAGATTTTTAAAGTTGTCTGAGACGCATAAAATTAAAATTATAGTAAGAAGTTCAAGCATTAATTGAATACTTTGCTTATTATTAATTTTGGTCACAAATAAAGTATATGCTACTTTTTATCTGTAAACACCACCGACATGGCTAATTTTAGTCATTATTATTTACTATAGTTAAATTAAAATCAAGATCTCACATGAAATATTAAAATTGAGGCTAAGGTTTTATCTCTAAAAATAAAATTCCAGTTGAATTATAACATATTTATTACATTACACCTATTTATAAAGTCCAAGTAAATTCTAAACTTTATGAATTCAAAATATAAACTCTAAATTAGAATATGTTCTAAATTTATATTCTGTCTATTCCATAATAAGTAAATTGTTGACATTTTTTGTATTTCAAAATAAATAAATTATTTAAAGTTTGAATGTTTTTTCCATAATTACACATCATTTTATAAGGCTATTGATTACTTCTATTTTCTCGAAGGTTAATTTAAAAACAATAAAAAAAAAAAGAGTCTTAAATTTGTATCTTTCAAAAAAAATTCCCATTTCAACATTTATTAAATATTAAATTTTATTTTTAAAAATTACTCGATAAAATTATTAAACTCAACTTAAAGTCTTAAACTATTAATTTATGATAGTATATAAGTACACGTTTTCTTTTTTAGTACACCTAACTTAGTAAATTACCACCTCCCCCAAAAGTTTGTAAATCTTTTATATGATAGTATATAAAAGATTTGATTAAAGAAAAATAGAGCATCGACTATTCTAAATTTACATGTGAATTTTATTTAAATTTAACTATACTTTATTTCAGGTGAATAGATGATAATCTGTTGTTAATATTTTCAGTTGAAATTTTTTGATAAGTTTTCTGCATATGCTCTCCCAACTCATTTCGTAGATATGTTAACTATTAAAAATATATTTTATTACACATATTAGCCTCAAAAATCGTAAATTTTTTTATTTGTTTCAATTCATGTAAACATGTATAATTACATGAGGAAATACATTCAATGCTATTAACTGTTTTAACGTAATCTACACTTGATAACACGTGTTAAAAAAATTTCGAAATATTTATCAAGAATATCTTAGTATAAACACTCTATCGTGTATATAAATGCTCAACCATAACAAATATAACACTCATTATTTGTCGAAACTTGATCAAACAGACTATTAGTTACTCGTTTTAGGTAGTTATCAATGTACTTGGAAAAAAAAAGGGACATAAATGTCAATATGGACAAAATTAGAGGATATATTAGTGAAAAAGAAGTCCTGAAAAACACCATCTTCTTCCTCACAGAAACAATGCTTCCAAATAAAAAATTGGTTTCACACATTCTCTTATGCAGTTAGGTTCTTTAATGGAGGTCTCACTACTCACCCTAAAAAAAACCCTAGAAATTCAAAAAATGAAGAAGGAAGATAAATAGCCCTTAAAAGTTTAGCTCTTTGGAGTTTTCCACAAAACTTCTTTGGAAAAATTCTTTCTCCCTGACTGTTTATTTATATCAAAATCAAATTTTTCAGCTATATTTATTGAAGGAGGTAATTTTGGGGTTCGGATGGAGAGCAATGAAGGAGGGGATGATCAAGAAGGTTCTGGATGGATGCAAGTGAAAAAGGTGTGAACTTTTTGCTAAATTGAATCATTTTAGTTTTTATCTTTAAGCTGAAAGATGATTAAGAAAAATGTGGTTTACTAATTAGAACAGAAATCATCAAGAATCATGTTTAAGCTGTGTTATGGGCCTAAATCAAGAAAGTACAGCCTGATAATCTGTTGTTTTAGGTATTATTTTGGATTAAAATCTTGAATTCATGTAGATGGATTAGTTGTATTTTAATTATTTGAGAAAGAGATAATCATTTTCAATATGTTTCTGAAATTGGAGAAAGAGATAATCATTTTCAATATGTTTCTGAAATTGGATTAGTGGGTTGTCTTGGAATTGGGGATAATATTATTGGACCATTTAGTGAAGAAAATGGTGAATTAGCTAGGTTTGTTTCATAGTCTTGGATCATTTAGTCTATTTGTTAATCAATGTGTGAACTTGTTGTGCAGAAGCACAACAGAAACAGTTCAAAGTTTTCGCTGCATGGTTGGGTTGGAGGATCATCTCAAGGAACTTCTACTTGTCATCCAGACAGTCAGTCTTCATTGGCTGTTAAAAATGAGGATCTTAAATCGTCTCTTTGGCATTCAAAAGGAAATCGCCCTGGTATTATACATGATGGTGGAACGTCAGTCCCGAAGGAGGATGCAGTGATTGTGCACGATAAATGTGTAGTTGGTCATTGTAGTACTTCTGTTAGTTTAGGTTTTTCCACAGATTCGAATCAAGGAGTCAATAGGGAACATTCTCAAAGAATTAACCATGAGGTCCTACCAAAAATCAAGTGGGGTGACTTGGATGATAGAGCTCTACCCTCTCATTTTGGAAGTACTGTCCAAGCAGAAATTAAGTTTGGTGACATTCAAAATCATGATCTACTTAGTAGAAGAACTGATCAAACAAATGATTCTTTTGCACACACTTCTATAACTGATCTAGAGCAAAATAGATTGGTTGCAACCACTGAGGATGAAACTCATCAAATTCTCGATTCTCATCCTTTGTCTCCAAATATGAAGGAATTATCTTCAGAAGATATTAATGCTACTGCTGCTTATACCCAGCTTGCAAATGGTGACACTTGCAACAGTCCTGGCGAAAAGGTTAAATGTTCTGCCAGAAAAGGGCCTAGTGGCGTAGTTATGTGCAATGTCGAATCTGAAGAAGCTTGCATGGAAATCCCTGAAGTGTCTAGTCTTGATCAGAATATAAAAACAGTGGTGGTTTCTCAGAATCCTGAGTCACTATCACCTACTAAAGGAGGATCAGGGAACATTGAGCAGTCCTTTCTGGCGTCCTCTAATGAAGAGTTTAGGAACAAACGAGTTAATTCAATCATTGAGGATTTATCTAGAACTAATTCGAGCAGTATTGATACTGAAGACAGTAGTGAAAGTAAAGAAAGATTCAGGCAACGCCTATGGTGCTTTCTCTTTGAGAATCTTAATCGGGCAGTAGATGAACTCTACCTACTCTGTGAACTGGAATGTGACCTGGAGCAAACAAAAGAGTCCATTCTTGTTCTTGAAGAAGCCACATCTGATTTTAAAGAATTGAGCTCAAGAGTGGAAGAGTTTGAGAGACTGAAAAAATCCAGTTCTCATGCTACTGATGGAACACCTTTTACCATGAAGTCTAACCATCGCAGACCACATGCTCTTTCATGGGAGGTCAGTACTCTATCTGGTCTC